TGTGCTCTTTCAACATTGTTGGACGCGCTGCTGTCAACCTGCTCCCCACTCACAGCAGCCCTCCAGCACACAGTGAGACTGCCCCATCAGATCTCCCCGGCAGTAGCCTATGCAAAGTGCCACAGCCCCATCACACAGGGAACAGATAGGTTCGAACAGCAAGCCTTTAGATGAGCAGGCAAGAACATAACCCCTCGACCATGAAGGCTTCTTTTCAACATGGTCAAACTTCTGCAAGACTATCTCGGGTATTGAAATATGGCAAAGCTTCTATGCCAATTGGTAAATAGCTGTTGTCGGAGTCCTCGGAGGGCCAGCCATCTGACACAGCCTTGTTCTCTGAACCCCTTTCCCCACTGTCTCAGAGTCCAGCAAGTGAAGGGTAAGACCTGACATACCTAGGACTCTCTAACTGTCCCCCCACCCAGGACTGCCATCTATTCTGATTGGTCAGTACCCATGCCATTCCAGTTTTAACCCTCCGTCATTGTATCTCCTGTTACTGTGGGGAAGCTAGGCTCAAGAATTCAAGATTCAGCAATTCTCAGAGTGTGTGGCTTGGTTGATCTAAAGAGAAAATTCTAACTGTGGAAGGAGAGAAGAACCGGCCCTGAGGGGTCTCATTGAGAGACCCTCGGGGGTTGAGCAAAAGGCCTGAAGCTCGGACCTCAAAAACTGAAACACACGCCCACTGCCATCGAGTCGATTCCAACTCACAGTGATCCCATAGGATGAAGTAGAACTGCCCCTGTGGGTTTCGGAGGCCCAAACTCTTCACTGGAGTAGAAAGCCTCCTCTTTCTTCTGCGGAGCCAATCTTGTGGTTAATGCAACTAGTAACCCACAATGCCACCACGGCTTCTTGACCTGTGTAAGAGAGACCCCAGTTACCCCCCAGCTTAATCAACATCCATAGCCTTAATGTAACTGTGGTGTGAATTCTGTGTGACCGTGGCAAGGGACCATCAAATGCAGCTGTGGGAAAGATGGCTGGCTGCAGGGTAGGTAAGAAAAGTTGGAGAGTGGAGGTATGTCTGAACTCCACCTCCTGAGAATCAGCTTTGGGCAGATTCTGGTCATTCCCCACGCCCCCTGAAGTTAGGTCTTGTGGTAGTTACATAATCTGTTGTCAATTTGAGACTTACAAGTGAAGGGGTGGAGGTTAGCCTGTCAATCAGGTCACAGCTTGATGACCTCATTTGGAGGCACTGAGGAGATAAATAGCTCCCTGGCGGCAGGACAAATGTGGGCTCCCTGCAAGACATTCCTGTGGACAAGATACATGGAGCTACACTAGAGCCCTGGAGCTGAAGGGGCCACGTGGAGACCTCTGCCAGCGCTGAGATGCCTCTACCACCACTGGACCCACAAAACTTTCCACCCACTGACCTGTGATCTTCCTGCATTCAGTATTTCATATGCTTCATGAGTCTGAAGAAGAATTTCTAGATTGGTATTAGACATATGGGCTAATATTGGACTTAAGGACTTGCTCTGGACTGGGCTGGGATGTTTTCTCAAAAGTCAACTGCTCTTGTATATAAAGCTCTTTCTTATACACATATGAGTGTCTATGAATTTGTTTCTCCAGTCCACCCGGACTAACACAGGCCCGTATTGACAGGACTACTACGACATCATTTTACAGGTTCTAAAGGGCACATTACATTACATCTGTTCCATAGGATCTCTTTAAAGTGCTGAAAAGCAAGGATGTTACTTTCAGAACTAAGGTGAACCTGATCCAAGCCATGGTCTTTTTAAACACTTCCTATGCATGTGAAAGTTGGATATTGAATAAGGAAGACCAGAGAAGAATCAAACACATTTGAATTACGGTGTTGGTGAAGACTGTTGAAAGTACCACGGACTGCCAAAAGAACAAACAAATCGGTCTTGGAAGAAGTACAGCCAGAACGTTACTTAGAAGCAAGGATGGAAAGACTACATCTCCCGTATTTTGAGCACGTTATCAGGAGAGATAACCAGTCCTTGGAAAAGGGCATCATTCTTGGTAAAAGTCGAGGGACCGGGAAAAGGGGAGGATCCTCAATGAGATGGCTGTGACGATGGGCTCCGACATAACCATTGTGAGGATGGTACGGGGCCAGGTGGTGTTTTGCTCTGTTGTACACAGGGCCGCAGTGAGTGGGCACCAGCTGGACAGAACCTAACAACAGGGCTGGGGGAAATCTTAGTTTTCCAGGCCGATAGCTAGGCCTGTTTCCCAACATGCCTCTGGGTGTGTTCAAACCACTAACTTCTCAGCTAACAGGCAAGCATTTAAATGCACCACCCAGGGACTCCTACCCGGTACAGATGCTGATAGGATGGTGGCATCAGTAGTTGTTATTGTTAGTTACCATCCAGTCCACCCAAGTCATGGGAACCCCTACATTTTACAGACTGGGGCCACACCATTGTGTTTCCTTGGCTGGAATCTTAACTTCCACGTACCGCTGGCTGGGTTCAATCCCCAGCCTTTGCATTAGCAGGCAAATACAAACCTTTTACTAAAGACCTTTGGACTTGGTATTAAGCCCACTGCCATTGAGTAGTTCCCAACACATCAGGACCCTGTCTCAGGTTTCTGAGGCTGTAAGTCTTTCCAGAAGCAGAAAGCCTCATCTTTCTCCCATAGAGCAGCTGGTGCATTTGCTCTGCAAGCCTTGTGATTAGCTAAAGCAGTGGTTCTCAGCCTCCCTAATGCTCCAACCCTCATGTGGTGGTGACCCCCCCAACCATAAAATTATTTTCGTTACTACTTCATCACTGTTCTTTTGCTACTGTTATGAATCGGGGAACCCCTGGAAAGGGTCCTTCCACCCCCAAAGGGGTCGCGACCCACAGGTTGAGCACTGCTGAATTAATGGGTCTCTTCTGGTTGCTTCTATTTCCTCAATAGAAAAAGGCTCACTGCCATCAGCTGACAGCGAGCAGACACAAGGTGGCGGGGGAGAATGGAGAAGACCTGGAATAGTTGCCTGGCCAGTGACCAGACTAAAGACATCCACAGGCTTGCCCTGCACGGCTGAGAACGCGAGTTCATGAATGTAGAGGAGACCTACCCGTGGGATTGAGAGCTTCCATTTGTTTTCATTTTCCAGCACCATTGGCTATTGGAGTGCAGGCACAGGGGAAGCAGACAGAGGAGGACTGGGATGGCCAGCACGTGTCACCATGCATCATGGGACCCAGAGTCGGGGAAGACTGAGCAAAGCCGGGTGCACAATGGTTAAGTGCTGGGCTGCAAACAGAAAGGTTGGCACATCAAACCCACTGCAGGGGTGGGGAATGATTGGATGTGATTCTTCCAGCCCAAGTCTCTAACTCCTAACAAGCGAGGTTTCCCTGCCTGGGTCTGGGAAGAAGGTGTGGGGAAAGGCATGGATGGAATTCACCCATGAGTGATTGCAAACAGGATTCCTTGGAGTGTCACTCTGCTGTGTATAAAACGAGCCTTCTGAGAACCAAGAGATCTCATCACCAACAAGAGCCAAGAGTGCAGTGTGTCCTCTGGACCTGAAGTCCCTCGCGGTGAACCTCCTGGACCCAGATGACAGCTACGACATCAGAGGAGCAGCAGCAGAACCAGGGCCAGAGTGTGGAACAGACTCATGGACTTCCCATCCTATGGAGCAAGCAGTGCCGAGTGGTTTGTGCAGGGGGGCTGGCTGGGGGAGTGGGGTGCCTCTGGGGACTTATTTGGAGAAGTTGGACTGCTGACTGACCCGTGGAAGTGGGGCTGAGTGCCTTGGAGTAGAGGCTTACTGAGGGGGTTGCCTCTGGGCATTTAATTCAGGTAACTGGGTTTGCTGACCCACAGAGCTTGAGCCGAATGCCTTTGGATTAAGGCTTACAGGAGTCGTATGCTGCTTTGGGCACTCACTGGAGGACCTGAAACTGTGTAAGATGCCCTGGTAAACAACTACCCCGAGCAAAATGGTAAAAAATTTCCCACTGGCAATACAATTTGTTGTCTTCCCTAATAAACCCTTTAATCATGGATTTTGTCTGTGAGTCTGTGTAGCCATCAGAATGAATATTAGAAGCAAGAGAGGTAAAGCAGGGAGCACTAAGACTCTACCCCCACCCAGCAATTCTGCAGGAGAAAAGACCTGGTGAGCTGTTCCCATAAAACCCACAGCTGTACAGATCACAGCCTAGGAGACCCAATGAGGTAGCTTTCTGTCCATCAGAGCACTATGTGTTGGAATTCCACCAGACAGCCCCTAAGAACACATGAAAGGCTGTTTTTGAAGAGGCATTTTGTACACACCAGTGATGCACATCCGGTTTGATGGGCTGGGACCGTGTGCTCACTCTGCTATGGCGATGCTGTGCACACTTGAAGATGTACAGGGATGGGCTGGGCTTTGTCCTAAATGCAGACTTCTGGGCCATCCTTGGAAATGGTGACCCAGTGTTTTACCCGCCTACTAAGCACCTAAGGGCTGTTAGCGTGGACTATTCTCCGAGGAACGCCGCATTGAAGGTGTTTCAGGTGGAAGTACTTGCGAAATCTGTCTGGGAAGAAGTACGGCCAGAGTGCTCCAAAGAGGCAAGAATGGCAAGACTTCTTACCTACTTTGGACATGTTGTTGGAAGAGACCAGTCCCTGGAGAAGGTAAAGTGGAGGGGTATTGAAAAAAGGAAAGCCCTCAAGGAGATAGATTTGCACCATGGCTGCAGCAACAGGCTCAGGTCCAGGATCGATTGTCTGGATGGTCAGGGCCGGGCAGTGTTTTCTTCTGTTGTGCATCGAGTCACTATGGGTCAGAGCTGACTCAACGGCGCCTAGCAACAACAACTTGCCAATAGAATATGAGAGTGGGGGTGGGGTGGGGTGGGAGGGTTGGTTTCCCAGGTGATTGTCTACCCTGCCCATTTGATGCCCATTGTCTACCCTGCCCAATGATGATGGCCAGATCGAAGATATCTGAGACCCGCACTCGGGGAACAAAGTAACAGCACACCCCACACGGAGCACCCCTGCAAGGGTTGAAGCAACACTTCCCGGAACTTTTATTTGCTCCCATTCTCATCCATTTCCTTGGACAAGCACAGATCCACCTGTGGCCCCGCCTGCGGAGTCTATGAATCACTCGCAGGGCTTGACATCCGAAGCATCCGTTTTCCAGAAGGCCAACGAACTGTGCTCTGTTGGTGGGAAAAGGAGAGACACATTCTAAGGGAAATCCTCATTCCTGAAAAGTATCAAATAACTAAGCCAGATCAAATGCATCTGACCAGTGTGTCCACTAAACGTGATTCTATCAGTAAAGTGGAAGGGACACAGGAAGTATGAGGCCAATGGGAAAGCACTCATTTCCCAGAAAAGAAATAAAGGGTGGTATGGAATGGTAGGAGCCCTGGTGGCATAGTTGCTTATGCATTGGGCCACAAACCACAAGATGAGCTGTTCAAAACTACCAGCCGCACCTTGGGAAAAGATGAGGCTTTCTATTCCCATACAGAGTTACAGTCTCAGAAACCAGGGACACTTCTACCCTGCCCTATAAGTTTGCTGTGAGTCAGAATTGACTTAGTGGCAGTGAGTTTGGGTTTTGTTTTATATATAAAGATATATCTATATATAACATATAGATCTTAGTCAAGATTAAAGGGGAAACAACAAACACCCTCTAGCCTTTATTTATTCACCAGTCCACCCCCAAGTGCTGCCTTGGTGAGTGGGGAGGGAGTGTAAAAGAGCCTAGAGAAATACATCAACAAGGCTTGTCGGTTCTTTTTAAATTATCCTCGTCTAATAATTTTTTCTATTGATTTTGTACTAGTTTTATTACTTTACTGTCGAATAGCTCACCAGGACTCTGCTGTCTTTTGTACAAGAAAGCATGTATCACCATTTGCCATGATAATGATCATGGTAACTGCTTGGTTGGACACTTTCTTCAGGTGATGCATTTTCATTCTCATAATAACCCCTAGGAGGCGGGGGCCAGGGCCCAACCCATGATCAACTTCTTCTCCATCAGCTTCCTACCCTGTCATCCCCTGGCTGCGTCCCAGCTGCCTCCCAGCCTGCAGATTGAGGGCTATCTCTGCTCTTTGAGCATGTCCGAGTCCAGAGTTCAGACTCAAGAACAGCTTCCGTTTCTGGCTGGTCCTTCCTTTCTGGTAGTAAAGGTATTGAAAGCCCAACCTTGAAACCCTAAAAGGTTGGCAGCTGTAGATATCGGGCATCAGACACCTCACTTGGTTGTTGTTGTCAGGTGCTGTGGCGTCAGTTCTGACTCATAGCAACCTTATGTACAACGGAGCAAAGCAGCCGCCCCATCCTGCTCCATCCTCATAATGGTTCTTGTGTTGGAACCCACTGTTGTAGTCGCTGCATTAGTGCATCTCATTGAAGACTTTCCTCTTTCATCCTTCCTTAAAATGGGTTACTCTAGCAAATACTGGATCTCATGAATACCTTTCTACACTCTCCAAAGGCACAAACAAACAAACAAGACCCCTCTCACTGCCAGGATGGAGCCCATTCTGACTCACAGTGACCCTAGAAGACAGAGTAGAACTGCTCCTGGATTTTCTCGAGGCTGTAAATCTTTAGGAGAGCAGAGAGCCTCATCTTTCTCCCTTGGAGCGACTGGTGAGTTTGAAAGGCCAACCTTGTGGTTATCAGCCCAATGCATCAACCACAACACCACTCTTAAGGATCACTGAAGGAATGAGGGGGGATTTCAGAAGATCTAAAGATCAAACACCACGGTCATCTGTTACTTTGTCACTGGAAGTGAGCTCTTTATCATTTGGGGCCAAGAGCTGGTGGGAATCTCAGATATTATTCAAGTCTAACTTGGGACAACACAAGATTGCTAATTCACCCCAACATGCATTGACTGCCACCACAGCCAACCTGTAAGGGAAGGGAAGCTGCCCATTGGAGAAGTGATAGTAAAAGCTCATTGTTTTATCTAGATGTTTCTCCCCGCCTCCAACTCTTTTTAGAAATCCAGTGGCTCAATGTGCATTGCTTCTTAGGGTCCTTACACAATGAAAGTGCTGATTCTGGTGATGGGTAAGAGGAGGTCCCCATCGAAAGCTGCCTGGGGGACTTACCCTTGAAGCATGAGGGGATTTCGATGGTGCCATCGATGCACTGAGCATCCTCTGTATAGCTACACTTCTTTTCCTTGTTCTTGCAGAAGAAGGAAACTTTTTCACCATGCAGCATTCCATTCTTAAACCTGTCTTGGAGCTTTATTTTCTCTCCTTGGTAAAGCACGGTGGCCTTTTTAATCGATAATTTACACGATGCTGCAAGACAGATTATGGGGAGCCTTAGGAGTCAAGTACATCACCCTTAAAGAGAACATAGCCTTTGAGCCAGTAGACAAGTACACGAAAGCCAAACAGATCAAGGCAAGAATATCCCAGGTGTACATAGGGTGTCTTTGGTATCGCTGTAAATGGCAGTTCTGTGTCAACATAACCTTTCATCACTGCTTCCAAGGTGGCCTTTTCTTCTTTTTACAGCCACATAGGAAGGTGAGAGCGGAAGCTTCGCTCATCCAGCTTCAGAGACTCAGCGTAAAATGAATGTCAGTCAATGTCCCATTCATTGAGTTGTGGGCGTTGGTTGCTAACAACACACACACCAAATTCATTGCCATCAAGTCAGTTCCTACTCATAGCCAGCCTCCAGGACAGGGTTGAACTGCCCCTGTGAGTTTTTGAGACAGCAACTCTTTATAGGAGTAGAAAGCCCCATCTTTCTCCCGTGGAGCAGCTAGTGGTTTTGAACTGCTGGCCCTAAGACCAGCAGCCCAACATGTAACCACGATGCCACCAGGACTCTTCTACCAGTTGACAAATGCTCTTTATGCTGAAAGCTTGCCTTCATTTGTGGGCAGCGACCCCTCCCTGGAGGTTATGCAATGTCCACCACTCCTGGGGGCAAAGGAAGCAGCCTAGAGTCAACGATTGACTGACAAGAGGAAGGGCAACTTTTGTGTGCAATCCGTCCTCCAGAGCTCCTTGTGGGATCAGGCCGCAGCTGGGCTCACTCTGAAACCCCACCCCGTGTTTCTCAACTTGGAAGACCTGGATGAGCAGCAGCTGCCTCACCGGGGAACTTAGAATTGTAAACACTCAGGTCTCGCTCCAGCTCTCTTTAATCAAAATCTTTGAAGGTGGGACCCAGAAATCTGTGTTTAATCAAGTCCTCCAGGCAGCTCGGAGCACCCTCGTGTGTGAGCATCGCTGCCCTGGCCTATCTCATCTGCCACGCTTCTCTTTTCCCTGAAACACTCCCTCCCTCCCTCCCTAAACCAACGGCACTTGAATCCCTGCCTCAGGCTCTGCTTTTAGAGACCCAGCGCCCCCACCCACCCCCACCCCCGAGCCCCACACCACAGAAAACACTGGTACCTGATGGGTACGAGCTGGACTGCTCACCTGAAGGAGGGGTGTCCTAACCCACCAGCTGCTCCCCGGGAGAAAGATGCCGCTGTAAATAAGGATTTACAGCCTCAGAATCCTTATCTAGATTGTATCCTAATGACTCGGAATCAGTGCAAGAGCAGTGGGTTTAGTTCATTGAACTAAACACAAGAGTTGTGTGCCATCTTGCCACTGAGCTTAAATTCCTCTTTCTACTTGAGCTGCCAACCATAGAAAGGTAAGCCGGCTGTACTTGCTGTTGGCTTAGGTTGTTCTTCCTTGCACACGTCTGACCTTGTCTGGATCAAGGATGGGCACCCAATTCAAAAGGAAACCAAATCTAGTGGGGAATGAAGCTGATGGATCCTTTAGCTGAACCATCCCTTTGTAGAGTCAAGTCATGTCAAGTCATGTACCATGTAGAGTTAAGTCATGTACCATGCAGAGTTGTCATGTACCATGTAGAGTAAAGTCATGTCAAATCATGTACCATGTAGAGTCAAGTCATGCCAAGTCATGTACCTGTAGAGTTAAGTCATGTACCATGTAGACTCACGTACCATGCAGAGTCAAGTCATGTTCCAGAAGAGAAAGCAAAGAGGGACAGAGATGGTGAGCTTAGATGCCATTGAGACCTGGTGAGGAAAGCGATCCTTCCTGCCTTTCCATTCCCAGCATCAGGAGAGCCTGCTGGACTTCCCTTCCCCATCTTCAATAAGCTCCCTTTTCCTTGAACTGGCTCGGAGATGGGAGGAAGAGGCTTGACTGGAACAAGGCACTAAAGGATGCTGGCAGACAAAGAGTCAGGTGGCCACTTTGGAAAGCCCGCCCCATCTTCCACCACATTAACACGTGTAAAGAGGACCCGTGTGTGTCTCATGAGTCAGTTTAAACCCAAGCATGAGGCATCTCCCAGCATGCGTGGTTTCCAAACTCTCTCATATGCCAAGCGAGAAGGAGCAATGAGTAGGAAGTGATTGAAACAAGAAAATAGCATCTCAAGGCGATCATTGGAGACATTGAAAGCACCTCACCCAAAGTCCCCTACCTTTACAACTTGGCTGGGCAGACCATTTCCCCAACTTGCCACATTCTACTTCTTCCGGGCCATCCAGAACAAATGTCTCGTGGCAGCCATACGTGGCTTTATCCTTGTAATAAAGTGCTTGTTCCGCAGGATAGTTCACAAATCCGTTGTCTGGTCTTGATGGAAACGGGCACTTTACTTCTAAAAAGTTTATTGAATCAGACATATTAATAATGAATAGGTAGTTATGGCAATTACCATGTGCGTTTCTATGAGGCCACGACCCAGTCACTGGGCATTGTCATGACTGAGATGCGTGTACTGCGCTCTTGTCTGCGTTGGCCACGCTCTTCGTCCTAGGCCAAGTCCAAGGGCCACCACCTCCATGAGGCTTTCCCAGGCACCAAATTGCATCAGACATCATTTTCCTGAAGGCGGGTGTCAGTCATTGGTACCGCACTCACCTAGGACCCTGTCTGATATTTGGGAGATGCTCGAGAAACATTTGTTGAATGAAGCTATCTGGAGCATTCCATTGTAGTGGCTCGTCTTTGTTTTGTGGTTGTTAATGGGGTTCTAAATTAGTTGTTCAGTTTCATTGTACTTACCCCTGCATTCTGGCACTTCGGTCCAATTTCCATGGGCTGTGCAGGTAATGGTGTCATTTCCAAACATGGCATGCTTTGGCAAGCATTCCAAGACAGCAGTGTCCCGATAGAGGGAGTTGTTTCCCATTGATGGCTTATAACCACGAAGTGTTGCGAATTTAGGCACAGGTGGTGGAGGACAGGTCACAGCTGGAGAAAAGAAAGAGCTATCATCTCTCAGAAAACAGTTGAGGTTTATGAAGGTAAGGAGGATGGGGAGTGGGGAAAGTTCAAAGGTGAACTTGAGAAAAATGCAAGCTTGAATTAAATGACAGGGCAAAAACTGCCAATTAAGGGCGCCAAGTTGGAAATAGGATCTCAAAATCAAACATCTGAAACAGTCAAACGAAACACAAACTGCAAAGTCTTGCCAAGACGCATTTGGTTCCGTCGCTATAAGGCCTGTGATCCCAATGTTGCCTGGGAAAATATTTCTAGAAGGCAGCATCCGGGAAGGAGATTGCTGATGGAGCAGCATGTGGTAATTGCCAGTGACAGCGACTTGGTACAGAGTCATTTGTGACATCAGCTTTTTCTAAGGGGCCTTTCCATGTACCTCCCAGGACACGAGGACCCCACAGTGCGCTTGTCATCCTGGTCTGGCCAATGATGAGTGCCCACCAGTTTAGGAAATGTTTTCCTAAGAGAATAAAAAGTAATGCACATCAAAAGGTAATTGGTCTTGAATTACCTAGATCAGGGGTAGGCAAACTTTGAGACAGGAGAGCCAATCCTGTCCCTCACAATAACTTAAACATGATTCAAGAGCCCACCAGTCCTACACAAACTCTTCCAGAACATAGAAAAAGACGGCAAACTCCCAAGAGCCTTCTATGAAGCTAGTATAACTCTGATACCAAAACTGGGCAAGAATGCCACCAGAATTGAGAACTACAGACCAATATCCCTAATGAACATCAATGCAAAATTCCTTAACAAACTACTAGCCAACAGAATACAAAAGTATATAAAACAAATAATTCACCATGACCAAGTGGGATTCATACTAGGGATGCAGGGATGGCTCAACATATGAAAGACCATTAGTATCATTTGCCACATTGACATGAAAAAATATAAGAACCACATCATAATATTGATAGATGCAGAAAAAGCGTTCGACAACATCCAACACCAATTCCTGTTTAAGACACTTGAGAAAATAGGAATGGAAGGAAAATTCCTCAAGACAATACAAGCTATATATGAAAAACCAATAGCCAACATGGTGGTCAATGAAGAAAAGACTAGCACAATCCCACTGAAAAAGGGGACCACACAAGGATGCCCCCTGTCCCCACTCTTATTTAATATCGTGCTGGAGGTTTTAGCTAACAGCATAAGGCAAAGAAAAGACATCAAAGGTATTCGTCTGGGGAAGGGAGAGGTGAAACTATCGTTATTTGCAGATGATATGATTTTATATATGGAAAATCCCAAAAGTTCCACTAGGGGAGTACTGGAAGCAATAGAGGAGTTTTTGGCAGAGTGGCAGGATACAAGATCAACAAACAGAAGTCCATTGGACTGTTATACACATCAGATAAGACCACTGAAGAGGAGATCAAAAAGGTGGTACCCTTCCCAATAGCCAAACACAAATTGAAATATCTAGGGATATACCTGACTAAAAGAACAAAAGATCTATATGGGGAAAACTACAGAACACTATTACAAGACACCAATAGCGACCTCAACAAATAGAAGAATATCCCATGCTCGAGGATTGGAAGACTCAATATAGTCAAGATGTCAGTTCTGCCAAAGGCACTATGTAAGTTTAATGCAATCCCGATTCAATTACCCTCATCTTTTTTCAAAGAAATGGAAAAACGGATTACCAACTTCATATGGAGAGGGAAGAAGCCCAGAATTAGCAGAGAACTCCTCAAGAAGGACACAGCGGGAGGGTTTGCTCTACCTGACTTTAGCACATACTATACAGCCACAGAATTTACATATTTGTTACACATCTGCTTCAAAGGGTCATTAATAAACGCCATTGCAATTCCTTCTACCGCTGAATGTAAAACTCAATGTGTTCTTTTAAAAAGCTCTTCTTTGTATTTGAGATTTTATTAAACTCGAGTTCATTTGAGCTTATTTCACTTTTCCACTTGCTTCAGCTCAGACAGACCTGGCTGGAAGACGAATGAACCGTAACGATTATTGCAATGCCTGAGCTTCCTGATCAAAAAGTGAGCTTGGAAAAATCACATGCAAGGGAGCGTGAGAGCACCCTCCCTAGAGCTGCCCCGGACTGCTCCTCCGAGCATCACCTGAATAAGTCATCTCTGGTATCTTCAATCACTTCCTGTGCATGTGGAAGTTGGATAATGAATAAAGAATGACCACAGAAGAATTGGTGCATTTGAATTCTGGTGCTGGTGAAGAATATTGAACACGGCATGGATTGCTGGAAGAATAAACAAATCTTCCTTGGAAGGAGTACAATCCAAATGTTCCTGGGAAGTAAGGAAGGCAGGGCTTTGTCTCACATACTTAGGGCAGGTTATCCGAAGAGGCCAGTCCCTGGAAAAGGACTTCATACTTGCTTCTGTGGACGGCCAGTGAAACAGAGGCAGACCATTAAGAGGCAGACAAATTGACATGGTGGCTGCAACAATGAGTTCAAGCCCAAGATTGCTTGTGGGGGTGGGGCCAGACCAGGGAGTGCTGCCTTCCATGGTTCATAGGCTTGCGACGGGTCAGCACTGACTTGCTGACACCTAACAACAACATTTTTGGAATAATCTCAACCAGCTCTTGGGGACAAAGTCCTGCAATGGACTCTGGGCACGCCGTGTACCTTTCTTTGCTTGTCTTCCGTCTCTAGACACCCTTGGAAATACAGCCTTGGTGCTGACACTGAGAACAGGGCCTGGTACAGCCAAACCCAAACCAGATGCATCGCTGTTGAGCCCGTGCCGACCCAATGTGGAGTGCAAATAAAACCTAAACTCAGGGCCGTCAAGTCCTTGTCGACTCATAGCAACCCTTTAGGACAGGGTGGAACTGCTCCTGTGACTTTCCAAGATTGTAAGGGGCTTAATAGATATTTATTGGATGAATAAGGTTCCAGGGGAGGTGGAGGTTTCCATCACTTTTCCTAGTCACATGTTGGAAAAACCTGAAAGGCAGATATGCCCATTCTCAAGCCCTGGGAGTATTGGCATTAACAAACCCAGCAGCCCCCTGGCTCTTCCCCCGTGGAGTAGGCAACATGTGCATAGGTAGGATGTGTCCCTTCTGTCTGTTCATCCTCCAGAGCAGGATGGTGGTCTCAGGATGATCATCTCATTGGACCAACTGGGGGATGGGGGTCTCCTGAGACATGGTGCTGTCAGTACTAAAACCAAGCAAGTCCCAGACTCACTGGGACAAGTTGGCCACCTTCCCTCCAACCGAGCTTGTCAGAAGCGTGGCAGCTCAGACTCACGGGCACAGACGGGTAGCGTGGGGCTCCATCTTCCTTCCTCCGTGCATTTGGCCGAGCCCGTCCCATTCAGATAAAACCTGCGAGAGGAGAACGTGATCCGTTAAGCATTGAGGTCATTGATCCATGGCAGCTCAGACGTGTTCTTTGCCAAACATCATCACTTCACGGTCGCCCCACGGAATCCCTTTCTGTCCGAGAAGGCTGCTTTCCTGAGACTCCAGCGAGGCCTCCCTCCATTGTCAATGGAACAGTCTGCCCCGGAAGCCAATTTTTTCCAAGGCCGTTTACCTTCAAACCCAACAGTGAAGTGATCCTTCAGATGAAAGCACTCTCACGTCTCTTTCATCAATAGGATTGCCTAATCTCAGATTCTAAACAAGGATCCTCAGGAAGAAGCGGGCCCTAATATGCAGCTTGTGTGCTGTCACCCACGGATGTCACGGTGGAGTCTGTGCGTCAGGTAAATGAGAGGCCTTCGCAGCTCTCAGTGCTATCTGGCTAGGGCATTTCGTAAAGGCTCCCGAGACCAGGCTTACTGTCACCACACTCCTAAACATCTCTCCTCTCCTCCAGGGGGGCCAGTTAAATGAGTCCCATCCCTAAATCCCAAGCCCTATTCCTAAAATAGTTTAACCCTTATGTTGAGGGTTTAGTAGCCCTCATGTTACAATAAGAAGCCCTAGTGGGTGATGCTGTGGGTTAGGCACTGGGCTGCTAACCAGAAAGTTGGTGGTTCAAACCCACCAGTTACTCTGATGGAAAAGAACGAGACCGACTGCTCCCATAAAGATTTACTGCCTCCGTGATCTGCTTCTACCAAGATAGCAGCCTAGGAGGCCCCACAGGGCCACTGCCGCCCTGACCCCCAGGGTCGCCACGAGGTAGCATCAGCTCCAGGTTGCATAATAAGAACAAACGCCAAGCTGTGGCCCTGAGCTACACTTCTGTGAAGGGCGACTTTATTTTAATACCTGATGGTACAAAAGCATTTGGAGGTCTTTTTTCTAGAAAGCACGGGAGATAAATTCATAGGATAAGCCATTCGCTTTTTCTCTGACTGACATGTTCAATCATTGGCATCTGCCTAGCCTCTATTGTTAGAAGTGCAAGACCATGTTCTTTTATGCCATTCATCTCACCATGTTTTAAGTCTATTTATTAGGAGTTTCTCAGAGAGGCATGAGATTGTGTATTTCTGAATTAAAGTTTTAAAACAGATTTGACGCAGAGATTAGAGAGGGTCCTTGTCATCTAATTACAATCGTTTCAAGAAACCTCCTTGAGAAGTAATCAATCAGGAGAGGAAGAGCTAGGAAGAATGGCAGCTTTATAGTCTACTAGTTGTTGTGTTCTAGGAGGGCTGGTGGCGGACTGGTTAAGCACGAGGCTGCTCACACCCAAGGTCAGCAGTTTGAAACCACCAGCTGCTGCTCGAGAGAAAGACGGTGCTTTCTACTCCTGTAAAGAGTTACAGTCTCGGAAACTGAAAGGGGTAGTTCTACCCTATAGGGACCTATAGGGTCCTACGTCACGGGTCCCTATGGGTTGGCATTGACTCACTGGCAGTGAGTGGGTTGTTTTATTCCCCATCTGTGACTCCCCACTCGATGCCACGGGAGCTGATATCCAAAGCAGAGCAAAAATAAGATTTAGAGTCAGCATGCTCAACCTCAGGGTCCGGAGGTTTGGACTTGAGACACAGAAATCCACCAGGAAGGCCTTACCCGGTATTACAAGCAAAGCTGATGGTGTTGGGATACTCAAATGTTGTAAAGCGCACCGTTCCATTTCCTAGGATGCCGGCAAAAGGACACACTCTCGCTGTGGTTGGAAGATAAAAAGGCAAATTTCCATTTATAGCACTTTCCAGTAGAGTAAAAGTAGATAAGCCCACTTCTATCCTTTGATCCAATGACTCTAGCGTTCCAAATGGGTCAAGTCAGATGCACGAGCGTGTTGATCCTCCCGCCACCTCTGCTCACAACTGGACAATCGGCGTGTTCACCGCCAGGGGGCCTGGAAAGGAGCCTAGTGTATCATCCAAGAGTTGCACTCACTGGGGAGGGAGATGGAATTACAGGGGTAGAGGCCTGTGCAAGCTATTGTGTAGAATCATGTATTTTAGAGCCAATAATATATGACTTCTAAGGAGTGTGGAAACTTAGTAAAAATGTGTAATGGGCAGAATGAAAGGAGAAAACATACAAAATGGGACAAGCCCTCAGTAATGGTGAGAACTACGTTGAAGATAATGAACTTGCTCATGTTCCACAATGATGGCTAATTGAAAGGAAAGCATCTCGCTAAGGTGATTGTAGCGTGTTTTCATGTAAGAAAAATTATGTTCCGTCTCTTTTACTTAAAAAGCGTGTTCAAATCAGTATGAGCAGGTATAATTTTGAAGAAAGGTCATGCTCATTAACTGAAATAATCAGCCCTTGGATCAGTTTATGTTTACAGCTTAACTACTCCATATATAATTGTCAAAATTCTATCTGGCTCATTTTCCAATATGCGACTGCAGTAAGTAACGTCAGCACGATGTCATACAAGCAGTGGGAGGGGGCGGGAGACCAATGCCATTGTCTCCCATTTAAAAAAAAGGTATAGCTACATATTGTTAAATATGAAAATGCTTATTCACTTCAGCAACTATCAAATCAGCTTTTTTTTTTTTTTAAGGCAAAGCCCCAAGATAGGTTGGCTCCTCAACTTTTGTGTTTTCAATGTCTCTTTGGCATCAGTCTAGAGTTCTGAGTCTGCACCCTCCCCCTTTTAACGTCCTTGATGGCACACTGGCCGGGGCATTTGCAAGCCCCCCTGAGTTCTACGCCAGGAGCTCCTCCTGGCCTACAGCTAGTACTCAGAGCCTCCCCTCCTTTCTCCCAGGAAGAACCCTCAGACCCTCTGGTCCCCAGCCACCCGTCCCCTCCAGTGAGCGGCCTGAGCACTATGAAGTTAGCCATCCCAAAGAAAGAGGGGCAGGACCGGAGAGCAGGCACCGACTTACGCAGACACTTCAGAGTGTTGATGGGCCATATGCCAGTGAGAGGGCACGTAAACCGCCTTATCCCTCCCCGGGACTGGTAGCCCGGCCGGCAGGAGTAGGTGATCTGCTCCCCTGGCTCATAGAACTGCTTTAATGGAACCACCAGGGCAAACGGTAAGTCATCTGGCTTGGGACAGGCTGAAACACACAGCAGTTGGTTAAGAAATCAGTATTTGAAGCTCGTTCCGTTCCGCTAGCACACAAACGAACAACCAGTATCGGACACTGCTCGTGACGAGGACGCACGTTGATCAGGAGAGACCGGTCCCTAGGCAAGGGCATCATGTTTGGTAAAGCAGAGGGTCACGAAACAAAAGGCACACCCTCGGGGAGGTGGATCGGCACTGTGGCTGCCACAACGGGCAAACACATAACAATCGTTGTGAGGCTGGGGTAGGGCCGAGCGGTGTTTGTTCTGTTGTACAGAGGGTCCCCATGGGTCGGAGCCAACTTGATGGCACCTAACCCCAACGGTGACAATGACTTAGACACATTTCAAACCGAATACTTTACGTGCCACGTCTTGCGGGCTCTCCACACCACCCCTTAGAAGTGGGTAGACTTAGTGTCAGGTGATGACACAGAGGCTCAAATTGGTGAAGCAGCTTGTGGAGAAGCTTGTGAGTATACCAAGGTTAATGAGTAAATATCAGCCCCGTCTCTCCAGCAGATACCCTGGAAGGGAATTTAAAGTAGCCCTTATTGACCTCTGACAAATCTTAGTGGAGGCTAGGCAAATGAGTCCTTTTATTCTCCACCAGAAAAAAGTACTTACCCACCACCCACTATGACCCCAACTCTATCTTACTAATCTGACTAGACTAGAACATGTACACGGGTAGAGATCAGAGCTCCCAACACAGGGAACCCAGGACAGATCAACCCCTCGGGACCAATAAGGGGAGCAGCGATACTAGGAGGGTGGGTGAGGGTTGGGTGGGGGGGAGTAAGGGAGAATCGATCACAATGATCAATGCATGGCCCCCATCCCAGGGGGATGAACAGCAGAAAAGTGGGTGAAATGAGACAACGGTCGGTGTAAGACATGAACAACAAAAAAGAATAATTTATAAATTATCAAGGGGACACGGGGAAGGGAGGCTGGGGGAGGGAGGGTGAAAATGAGGCAATGCCAGGGCCTCAAGCAGAAAGGAAATGTTTGGAAAAGATGCGGACAACCTATGTCCAGATGTGCTTGACATATATGTGGCTATAGGGATGGTTTATGATAAGAGCTGTAAGAGCCCCCAATAAAATGATTTCAACAAAGAAAAAAGTACTTACTCCTTCCTGCCACAGCAACGTGACCGAGGAAACAGGAGAGCAGAAGGAACACGGGAGAAACCATGGTGGGGCGACCGTTCCCGCGGGCACTTCCAAAGTGGCTCGACGCTAAGGGAAAAAAAGGGCTTAAATACTAACCTTTCGGGGGAGGTTTGCTTTGATCTCTGTATAGAGCAGCTAAAGCCTATGATCTCCGAGGGACTCTGAGGCCCGCGTTCTTTAATCATTTACTTTCCGTGCCTGTGGGTTTGTTGTGAAATACTTAGCCAGTGGCTTTCTGTGTCCATAACACGAATGTTCGTAGCACGATGGGTTGCATCACGGCCTTGGCTAGGGTCCTGGCGGTTCCCGGAAGGCCACATCTCTACCTCTCTGTCTGTTCTTGGAGTGGAGGATGCATTCGAATGCCACTGTTCTTGCTTCAGTCCACAGCCGTGCGATATGATGGACCAGGGCTTCATCTCTCTACGGCTCAATCTCTTCACCGCTCACAGGATGCCCCAGCTTCCCGAGGCATGCTCCTGAAGAGCACCTGACCTCACACTTGGCGTGCCGACAAGGCGGCGCTCTCACCAAAGGACTGTGCTGGTGAGGTGCCCTCCAGTCGGTTCCAGGAGGGACCCCCCCGGACAAGAGGACAAAACGCTGCTGGTCCGCACCATCCTCAGCACCGTGGTGACACTCGAGCCCATGTGGCAGCCGCCGCGTCAGGCCATCTCCTTGACAGCGTCCTCCTTGTCACTGACCTTCTACACAATGACCCCTTCCTCCCCAAGCCCCTTCGCCTGCCATTAGCAAAGACTCTCCTGGGAACCTCACCGACGACCATGGAGGGTTCCGCCATCCTTTCTCGTCTCAAATCCACACAGAGCCCTGCTCACCCATTTTTGGTATCTCTTCGATCTAGGTTTCCAAGCTTATTTGGCCTACCGCCCATGTTCAGGCAGGAAATAAATTGCTCGCCATCCCCCTGGTTATTAAGAATTGCTGTGCTGTAGGGCATAGCAGCACCCCTCACTGGGCTGGATCGCCCACCCTGGGAAGCATGGTTCTAGACAGAGCCTAGATCCGTTGCAGGGATTAGAAAGGCGAGATGAAAGGGCAACTTGGGACTCAGAGAAGAAAAGGCAGTGAGGAAGAGGAGAGGAGAGGAGAGGAGGGCCGACACTGATGATGTTGTTCAAAGGGTACCATCCATGGCACCATAGGTCTCTCATATACGACCTGCTCTGACCTTCCTTGGCACGCATGGGGTTAAGAAACGTTGGTGTCTGACGGTGGCTCTTAAACTGTGTTCCTAATAAACATAGGGTTCCAGCCATGTCAAGAAAAGTAGACCTGCCACTAAAATTAAATTAGCGAGGGGTCCTTCTCCTTTTGGGAGTAAGTCACAACCGGTCCACATACCACCACCACCTTCGAAGAGAAAGGACTCTTGTGCACTGCATCTCTCCCATCGTTGTTGCTCCTGGCTGTCTTGAAGTCAGTGTCTGATCTGTGGATAGCAAAACAGGGTCCCTGTGACCCAGGGGATTCCATGGGTTATGTTTAAGGAGCAGTGTACTTACTCAAGCAGGGATGGACTCAAAAGGAGTCCACCTTCCTCTGCACACTCTGCTGAATCATGTTCCATATCTCACCAGCGCCTACTGAGCAGTAGGTAAGAGGTGGCTGCATTAGAAGTGTTCTGCCAGGACGCTAACTCCTGCCTCCTACCGGCAGGGTGAGAACGTTGCACACTCCACCATCACCACTCTCTCCAGATCACTCCCCTGGCTGGCGGAGCATCCCCTCCCTAGGTGAGAAAGAGAGGAAACTCAAGGGGCTCAGGTTGTTCGATGGAAGAAAGATAAGAGGCAGTTGGGAAAAGAGAGGTACTAAAGAGCGTGGGGCACCAGGCTAAGAACATTGTGGAAGAAAAGGTGTGCATTGAGACTGTTTGTGGCTGCAGCTACAGAGCGGCAGGCATTGAGGAGAGCACTGGCATTTTATCGGGAGCTAAGATGGATATCATATCATTTCACAGTTCAGTCGCACCAAGCAGTCTTGAACAATTGCTACCGCAAGGGCTTTTAATGACGTCTGTGAACAAACATAACGCGTTGGCCTGAGGGAGCTTTCTGGAGGGCTGGCGGGATCTATATCTTATGTGAGGTGGCGGTTATTTGTTTGGACACACAGGAACTTGGTGGCACAGTGGTTAAGCACTCAGCAGCTAACTGAAAGACAGGTGGGCAGTTCAAGTCCGTCAGCCACTCCTCGAGGGCCAACAACATTGGTAGTTGGCGTCCATAAAGATTACAGCCTTGGCAACTCTAGAAGGGAGTTCTGTGTTAGAGGGTGACTGTGAGTCTAAATTGACTCACTGGTGATAGATTTTATTTTACTTCAGTACCATAACTCACCAAACTGAATGTTTTTTCAAATATATATATATGTATATATATTCCATGATTCTTTTATTTAGACAATTTTTAATAGTTTCGTTGGCTCACAAGTCACATATCATACAATTTAATCATTCAATCCTATTAAGATTTGTGTAATCACCACAATCAATTTCAGAACATCTTCTTTTCAGAAATACTCACTGTTGTTAGCTTCCCAC